GAGGGGCACAAGGGCGAGCAGGGGGCCACGCAAAGCAGCGAGAGGCGATCGGCGCGCGCCCCAGCTTCCGCAAGCGGGAGCAGGGCGCGCACCGTTCACCAACCCACCGCAAGGAATGGCCCCCCGAGGGGGGGAGGAGACGCCGGCGGCGGAGGAGGAGCGGGAAAGGCGAGAGGAGCGGAAGAGACGAACGACGGACGACGACGACGAACGACGAAGACGACAGCAGAAGGGATCGTCACTCGCGTAAACACGAAAAAAAAATCAAAATGCCCAGTAGCAGCCCGCGCATGGGCGGGTGGAAGACACGGCGAGAGGAGGGGCGGAAAAGGAGCGACGGCGGGACACGCTCTAAGCGTCGTCCCCCACCAGCTCTGCCAGCAAGCTCGGCGCGGCAGCCACAGCTCCGCCAGCCGAGGGGAGCTCCGCGTGCCTCCTCAGGACTGCTCGCGCCGTCGCCCGGCGGATCGCCACGGACAGGCGCTGGAACAGGCGTGCCGCGCCCGCCCCCAGCTCCTCGCCTCGTCTCCGATCGCTGGCCCGGGCGAGCCGGCGCAGAGTCTCGGCGCCAGTCGGGCCCCATCCTCCAGAGGACTCCGCCACGAGGGGGATGAACACGATCCCCTGCTGCTGGCACTGCCGCTCTGTGTCGATGGTTCCTCTTCACCTACTCGTGCTTCTGCGCCGCGCGCCCCACCTCCCGGAACGCCAGGACACGGGCAGCCTGCCTGTGCGGCGAAGACACCGCGAAGTCGAAGGCAGCAGGCGCCACCTGGAACCAGAAGGGAATGTAGACATCTGCAGGCCCGCGCCCATTCACCTGGACGTCGTCTGGGCGGGGCGGTAGGAGGCCAGGTTGCTCGAGCGTCGGGTTGAAGCCCGCACTGGTGGCGAAGGTGCCGACCACGTTCCTCGCCCCGTTGTGCCGGTGGGCGCGATCCCCGGCCCCCGCGCATAGTCCTGCGTGCCGGCCGCGGCGGTCGCAGACGTCCTCGCAGCAGGGGCAGAAGTGCTCAGTCTCGTACACGGGCATGAGGAGCCTGCGCTTGACCTCGCACGCGAATTCCTCGGTTTCGAAAAGGAGCCCCAGCTGCTCGCTGGGCTGCGCCACGAGGAAGTCTGACGCGGCTGACGCGCCAGGCAGCATCTCTGAATTGATGTCAGCGCGGTCAGCTGCCCCCAAGCCCGCCAGAAAGGTCTGGTGCCCGTGTTCGTCCACCGCGGCAGAGAGCTGCTTCTGCGTGGCCCTGTCGAGCGCCGCCGGGTCGAGGCCGTCCGCCGGCGCCAGCAGGGCATTGTACGCCAGGAGCGCCTGCCCCTCCAGCGTAGCCGCGCTGTCCGGCGCCCGCGCGTAGGCCGGGTCAAGGTCGCAGCACAGGTGCCGCGTGGCTACGAGGCTGGCCAAGTAAGCGCCGGGCGCGTGTGCCGACAGCTCCCGCAGACCGAGCCCGCGGGCGGTGCCGCTGGAACCTTCGGTGGAGCCCCATATAGGGCGACGAAACGCTGTACTGGGTGGATGAAACGCAGGGAGCAAGGGCTGTGCTGGGTGGTGGCGGACGCATGCGGGCGGTGCCACTGGGGGCTTCGGTGGTGGGCCACAAAACGTTGTACTGGGTGGGTGAAATGCAAGGAGCAAGGGCTGCGCTGGGTGGTGGCGGACGCGTGCGGGCGGTGCCACTGGGGCCTTCGGTGGAGCCGCCTTATGGGGCCACGAAGCCATGTACTGGGTGGATGAAACGCAGGGAGCAAGGGCTGTGCTGGGTGGTGTCGTAACGCAAAGCGGGCGGTGCCACTGGGCTTCGGTGGTGGCCACAACCTTTGTATGGGTGGGTGAAATGCAATGAGCAAGGGCTGTGATGTGCAGGTGTGGCGGACTGCAGGCGCGCGTACCACAGGGGCCTTCGGTGGAGCCGCCTTATGGGGCCACGAAGCCATGTACTGGGTGGATGAAACGCAGGGAGCAAGGGCTGTGCTGGGTGGTGGCGGACGCATGCGGGCGGTGCTACTGGGACCTTCGGCGTGGCCCCCTACGAGGCCACGAAACGCTGTACTGGGTGGGTGAAACGCAGGGAGCAATGGCTGTGCTGGGTGGTGGCGGACGCATGCTGGCGGCCCCGCTGGGGGCTTCGGTGGAGCTCCCTATAGGGCCACGAAGCGCTGCGCTGGGCGGGTGAAACGCAGGGGGCGAGGGCTGTGCTGGATGGTGGCGGACGCATGCGGGCGGTGCCCCTGGGGCCTTCGGTGGAGCTCCCTCTGGGGCCACGAAGCGCTGTACTGGGTGGGCGAAACGCAAGGAGCAAGGGCTGTGGGTGGTGGCGGACGCATGCGGGCGGTGCCACTGGGGCCTTCGGTGGAGCTCCCTATGGGGCCACGAAGCGCTGCACTAGGTGGGCGAAACGCTGGGAACAACGGCCGTGTCGGATGGTGGCGGGCGCACACGGGCGATGCCTCTGGAACCTTCCGTGGAGCTCCCCATGGGGCCACGAAGCGCTGTACTGGGTGGTAAAACGCCAAGAGCAAGGGCTGTGCTGGATGGTGGCGGACGCACGCGGGCGGTGCCACTGGTGGCTTCGGTGGAGCTCGCTATGGGGCCACAAAACGTTGTACTGGGTGGGTGAAACGCAGGGAGCAAGGGCTGTGCTGGGTGGTGGCGGTCGCACGCGGGCGGTGCTAGTGGGACCTTCGGTGGGGCCCCCTTTGTGGGGCCACGAACCCCTGTGCTGGGTGGGCGAAACGAAGGGAGCAATGGCTGTACTGCACGAGGGGAGGAGGGGGAGGCAGAGGAAAAGAACGCGGGGACCGTCTCTTCAAAACGAGGGCGGGCCGTCGGCGAAGCTCCCTATGATGCCACGAAGCGTTGCACTGGGCGGGCGAAAATACCAAATTAAGCGTGTGGGACGCATGCGGGCGGTCCCATTGGGGGCATCGGCGGAGCTCCCCATGGGGGCGCGAAGCGTTGTAAAGGGTGCGTGAAACTACCGCATTAGGTGTGGGGGACGCATGCGGGCGGCCCCACTGGGGGCTTCGGTGGAGCTCCCTACGGGGCCACGAAGCGCTGTACTGGGACAGTGAAAATGCCAATTTGGATGGGGGGCGCATGCGGGCGGTCCCACTGGGGGCTTCGGTAGAGCTCCCCATGGGGCTACGAAGCGCTGTACTGGGTGGGTGACAATGCCAAGTTGGGCGTGGGGGGCGCATGCGAGCGGCCCACTCGGGGCTTCGGTGGAGCTCCCTATGGGGCCACGGAGCGCTGTACTGGGTGGGTGACAATGCCATATCGGGTGCGGGGGACGCATGCGGAGGCGGTCCCACTGGCGGCTTCGGGTGTGGGGGACGCATGCGGGCGGCCCCACTGGGGGCTTCGGTGGAGCTCCCTATGGGGCCACGAAGCGATGTACTGGGTGAGTGAAAATGCCAAATTGGGCGTGGGGGACGCATGCGGGCGGTGCCGCTGAAAACTTCGGTGGAGCTCCCTATGGAGCCACGAAGCGCTGTACTGGGTGGGTGACAGTGCCAAATCGGGCGTGGGGGACGAACGCGGGCGGCCCTACTGGGGGCTTCGGTGATGCTCCCTGTGGGGTTACAAAGCGCTGTGCTGGGTGGGTGACAATGCCAAGCTGGGTGTGGGGGACGCATGCGGGCGGTCCCACTGGGGGCTTCTGGGGGTGAACATGCCAAATTGGATGTGGGGGACGCATGTGGGCGGTACGAATTGGTGCTTCGGGTGAGCTCCCTATGGGGTCACGAAGCGCTGTGCTGGGTGGGCGAAAATGCCAAATTGGGCGTGGGGGGCGCATGCGGGCGGCCCCACTGGGGGTTTCGGTGGAGCTCCCTATGGGGCCGCGAAGCGCTGTACTGGGTTGGTGAAAATGTGAAATTGGGTGTGGGGGACGCGCGCGGGCGGTTTCACGGTGGGCTTCGGTGGAGCTCCCCATGGGTCCACGAGGCGCTGTGCTGGGTGGGTGACAGTGCCACATTGGGTGTGTGGGTGACGTTTCGGTGGGGTCCCCTATTGGGCAACGAAACGCTGTACTGGGCAGGTGGCACTGCCAAATCGGGTGTGGGGGACGCATGCGGGCGGCCCCACTGGGGGCTTCGGTGGAGCTCCCTATGGGGCCACGAAGCGTTGTGCTGGGTGGGTGACAGTGCAAAATTCGGCGTGGGGACGCATGCGGGCGGTGCCACTGGGGGCTTCGGTGGAGCTCCATATGGGGCCACGAAGCGCTGTACTGGGTGGGCGACAAATGCCAAATTGGGCGTGGGGGACGCATGCGGGCGGTCCCACTGGGGGCTTCGGTGGAGCTCCCAATGGGGCCACGAAAAGTATGAGGGATGTGCCGAAGTGAGTGTGGGGACGCATGCGGGCGGTAGAGAGGAGGAGGGGGAGGAGGAGAGGAGAAAAGGAACGCGGGGACCGTCTCTTCAAAACGAGGACCCAACACCACAGGACGGTTGGGAAAATCATGCACCGGGGATGCTTTGTTTTAGTATGTTTGACTTGTTTGGGATATGGTTGGGGTATTTTTAAGTTTTCGCCCAAAATCCGCCTGTAGCAGGACAGGCCCGACTTAAGCGTACAAGAGGGTGGTGGTGCAGATCATGGCCCGAGGCATGTGTGCGGCCCAGGGAAGGCCAAGAGACGCATTCAAACAATAGTGATGATAAGAAGGAGCATAAAACACATGACACGAGCCTGAAGGATATGACTAGGAAAAAGAAACGTCAACATACGACGGAGGAGACGGGGGCCCCGAGGTCTGGGGAGATACGAGGGCCCAGGCAATCATACCCCCCCTAGACCTCCTCCTCCTCATCCTTCTCCTCCTCCTCAAGGGCTGGAGTTGTTGCGCTTCACCCCCATGTAGCCTTCTCACAGTGCAGCTTTCGAGGACTGCATGACCTGACCTCACATCCTCCTCCTTCTCCTCCTCACTCCTCCTCCTCCTCCTCCTCCTCCTCCTTCTCCTCCCCCTCCTCCTCCCCCAAATCGAAGAACACCCCCCGTCGCCTGCACCGCCAGCCAGGAGCGCCCCCCGAGCCGCCTGATCTCCTCCGTGTACGCCCTGAGCACACCGCGGCTCACGGTCGCGCCCCGGCTGGCGCACTGCCAGGTGTCAAGGCTGGGGTCGGGAGGCCTTTGGGCTCCGCTTCCTCCTCATCCTCACTCGGCCTGCTTTCCCGTCGGCCTCCTCGTCACCCTCGGCGTCCTCCTCCGCCTTCGGCGCCCTCCTTCTCCTCTTCCGTCGTCGGCCTCCTTCTTCTTCTCCTCCTCTACTTCCTTCATCTCCTCCTCCTCCTCCTCCTCTTCCTGCTGCTCGCCCTCCTCCTCCTCCTCCTCCTCCTCCTCCTTCTGCTCCCTCCTCCTCCTCCTCCGCATCGATGTCCCTCCTCCGCCCTTCAGCCTCCACTTCCTCCGCCCTCGGCATGCGGCATCACCATCCCCCTCCTTCAGCACCCGGCATGCTCCTCCTCATCGGCCTCATCGTCCTCATCAACCTTTGGAGTCATCTCCTACTCCGCCTTACCATCCTTCGGCGTGTTCCCCTCCTTCACACCATCACCAGCAGCATGAGCACCAGCATTAGCTTCTTCGTCGTCATCGTCGTCGTCACCATCACCATCACCATCACCATCAACATCACCACCATCATCACCATCACCATCACCATCACCATCACCATCACCATCACCATCACCATCACCATCATCATCATCATCATCATCATCATCATCATCATCATCATCATCATCATCATCATCATCATCATCATCATCATCAATCATCATCATCATCAACCTCATCAACACCATCGTCATCATCATCATCAACCGCAGCAGCCGCGGCATCGTCAGAACTACCGTCAACCACACCATCATCGCCATTATCAGGTCCACCACCACCACCAGCATCACCATCAGCAGCACCAGCACCATCCCATCGTTGTCATAATCTGAATCATCGGAACCACCATCATCAGCATCATCCTGATCATCATGATCATCAGCATCATCTGAATCGCTACCAGCAGCCATCATAATCACCATCATGATTATCATGGTCACCATGATCACCATAAGCATCATGATAATCAGCAGCGACAACATCATTAGCATCATCATGATCAGCATGCTCATGATGATGATCATCATCATCAGCAGCAGCATGATCATCATCACCATTATCATCAACATCAGCAGCATCATCATTAGCATCCTCATCACCATCATCAACAACACCATCATCGCCCGTAACATTTTCACCACCACCACCATCCCCATCAACAACAGCATCACTAAGAAACAGCACCATTCGTATTGTTAGATCATGAGCACCGTCGGTACCATCATCATCAGCAGCAGCAGAAAAATCATCATCATCATCACCATCATCGTCAGCATCAGCATCATCATCATCGACATCCTGATCACCCTCATCATCATCCTCACCACCCTCATTATCATCAGCATCATCATCATCAGCATGAGCGTCAGGATCATAATACTCATCATGATGGCCAGTATCATCAGCATCAGTGGCAACAGCAACAACATCATCATCATCACCATCATCTTGAGCATCATAATCATCGGCAACCGGGCTCGCGGTGCAAAATGGAGGCGGTTCGAGGCAGGCTGCCAGAGCTTCTGAGGAACGCTACAGCAGGCACACACGATCAGACACATTTTGCAACACGAGATCTTGGATCACCTTCCTCGTCGATCTGTGAGGTTTCTAAGGTGCCTCCGAGCTTCTGTGAGCCCCTGAGGCCCACGGGGGGTAAGACATGCACTGTGGTGCACATGGGCAATTTCGGAAACCCTGAACCCAAAGACGTCTTCATCTCTTGAGGGCACGTCTTTTACTTCCGCCGCCTTCCGCCGGCGGAGGTGGCCTCGTTTTACTCCCGCCGCCCTTCCGCCGCAGAAGAGACGACACCTCCTTCGATCCTCAAATTCAAGGCCCCTTTTGGAACGCCTCACATGCTCACAGGCAGAAGCAAGACTTGACGGGCCTGCTGTATGGGGTACTTGAAGGTTCAATGGGGGGGGGGGGGGCAGAAAGTCGCCAGCGAGGAGACGGAAGTGGGACGAGCAGTGCCGGGAGTTATTACGTTTTGGCTTGTCAAGAGGACGTACGAGACAATAGCGACTCGGGGGGGTAGCGGGAAAGCAATGACGCATACAGGGGCGAGGAGGAGCAATTGATAGGATGAATGGAATATTGAGAGGCAACAATCAAGAATAATGGTAACAATTCTGGACGAGGAAAATCACAGCAATTAAGACGATGAAAACAATGAGATGTAGCTGCGAAATAGAGAACACGAGAACAACAACGAATGATGATCTCCCGCTTTTCGCTCAACAAGCCTTCCGATTGTAATTCAACGAGCTTCGGCTCAACTGTCCTTTCCAGGTAGCGCAAGGCGTTCACAGCTAAATTGCGTCGCATATATCACAACACCGTTGCAAACCCTGTTGTGAAGCCAACGCTTCGGCCACAAATGCCGACTGTACTACTCCAAACGTGCAAGACATGATGGGATCCTCACAACAAGTACGCCACAATCGGATAGGCTTCCAAAGCGACGCGCACAGTCGGATAGTCTCACCGTCTCCTTCAATCGAATACGTAGGTTTCCAAAGCGACGCGCAACTAGAAGAGGACGAGAAGGCCACAAGGGATGGGCGTGGGCGAGGGCGGGGGGACCATCTCTGTCTCTCTCTCTCTCTCTCTCGCTCCCCTCTCTTTTTTTCTCCCTCTCTCTCTCTCGTTCTCCCTCCCTTCCACTGTTTGATTTGTACATGGGAACAAATGAAAACATGAATATGTCGTGTGCCTCTCCATACATCTGAGTCCCTCAGTTTCTCTCTTATGTTCTGCCCCCCCCCTCTCTCTCTCTTTCTGTTCATGTCCCAGTCCCACGCCCCCTCCTTCTCGAAGCAGCGCTCGCCCAATAATGGGGCCCTCGCACTCCTCCCCCCTACTCTACTCCTCCTCATCGCCCCCCTTCACGCCTCACCCCTTCTTGTCCAAGGCCCTCCACCTTTCGCAGTGCGCCCTCTAGAACAAGAAAAAAACACCATAAACATAAACTTTTGGCGCTCCGCGCGGATTTCTTGAATCCGCGCTGGACTCCCCTCCCTGGCGCGCGGGGAGCGCGCCAGGGGCGGCGCCGGAGGCGCCGCCTGGGGGCCTAGATGCGGATCCAAGAAATCCGCGCGGAGCGCCAGAAATTTATGTTTCTGTGGCTTTCTCTTATTCGACCCTCGCCCCTGACCGTCCTCCTCTCGCCGTCTCCCCTCACCGCTCTCTTCCTCCTCCCCCTCCTCCTCTTCTTCTTATGATTATCCTTCTTCTTCTTCTTCTTTTTCTTCCTCCTCCTCCTCCTCCTCCTCCTCCTCCTCCTCCTCCTCCTCCTCCTCCTCCTCCCCTCTCTCTTTCACGGTGCCCCCCCCTGGCCTGCGGACGCTGGCTCCCTGGCGGCTGCGGGGGGGTCCCTCGGGGCCTCGGAGGCCCCTGCCGCCATCGTGGTGTCATTCCGCCTCGTCCGCGTTATCCTCCTAGTCACTCATCCCTCCTTTCTCCTCCATCCCTCCTCCTCCTCCTCCTCATCCTCCTCATCCTCCTCCTGCCCTCCTCCTCATCCTCCTCCAACCTCCTCCTCCTCCTCCTCCTCCTCCTCCTCCCCCACCCCCTCATCCTCCTCATCCTCCTCCTGCCATCCTCCTCATCCTCCTCCTACCTCCTCCTCCTCCTCCTCCTCCTCCTCCTCCTCCTCCTCCTCCTCCTCCTCCTCCTCCTCCTCCTGCTCCACCCTCCTCCTCCTCCTCCTCCTCCTCCTCCTCCTCCTCCTCCTCCTCCTCCTCCTCCTCCTCCTCCTCCTCCTCCCCCACCTCCGACATTGCCTCCCTCATCTCTGCTCTCCCCGCTTCAATCCTCCTCACCCTCTGCCTCCTCCCAGGCCTGGAGTAGCCCTCGAAGGCGTCATAGAACTGGAACTCCATGATCCCGAAATCGTCCCTCATCTGCCGCACCATCTGCCGAGCCTCGTCTTCAGTCACGTTGAAACGGGTGAGGAACCTGTCGTTTTCCTCCTCCTCGTCATCCTTCTTCTCCTCCGCCTCCTCCGATGAACGTTTTCCCTATCCGCCACCGTGCCTGCACGCAGAGGGCGGGATAGAAAGCTTTCATGCTTCCTGGTGGAACTTATTTCGTGATGTTTAGGGCCGACCACCCCCCCCCCTCGTCGCACGCATCGTCAGAAAACCGTCCACCCTGTCGGGAGCCGATTTTGGGCCATTCCCTGTAAGAAATCAGAGAAGCCAAGAGACGCCGAAAACAAGACCACCCGAGGGGGGTCAACACAGGACCCCCCGAGGTGGGTCAACAGAAGCCCCCATGAGGAGCGCCAGAGAGGCCCTCCAGTAACATATGAATGTAATCAAAAGCTTGTCCGCGCCGGCCGCAATATCCGACAGTATCTTGAATGCGTTTCGCATTCGCCCGTAGCTGCTCTGATGTAGTCTGCGACAGTCTTGGCGCATCCGCGACTCCCCCAAGAGGACCCGACGAGGCCCCCAAGCGGCCCCCTAATTGATACAGTAGGAGCTCGACCACAAGAAACCTTCAACAAGAAGCCCGACCATGAGACCCCAGGACGTCCGTAGATCATTGGTGTGGAATCGTCACGCTTCCCATCGCAAAACCATCGAAATCCAGGGCACCCTGGAGGCAAGCAGGGTGTTTCCCAGCGTGGTCTCCCACTGTATCCCCCAAAAAACAATCGGGAAACCAACAGGTACCGATACCTCTACTCCCAGGACCTTTCCCACGGCGCGTTCCGACGAGAATTTCGAGGCGAATCCAGCGGTGGCGACGAGGCCCTACCGGGAGGCCCAAGAAAGGGCAAAGCGGGCGAAGGGTAGCAGTAAGGGTTGCTTTTCCTCCTCCGAGACAGGTACGAATTGCCTGATCCGACCTGACCTTCAGTGACTTCTGGCGCCTCTGGCAGGAGATTTGAGCAGGGCGAGCCAGGGCGCGTCGCCACTGCTTGAGAGATGGAGCGCCGCACGCCGGCCACTGGCCCCCAGCGGGGTCCAGCCCGGAGAGCACAGGCGGGGCCGCGAGGCACCGAGCGAAGGGGAAAAAAACAAGTGCCCACTGGAAGGCCGCTCCCTGCAGGCCGTGCCCGAAGCGGTCCTCCTCCCCAGGGGGGGGGGCTCCCAGGGGGGGGGTCCTTTTCCTCCTCCTCCTCCTCCTCCTCCTCCTCCTCCTCCTCCTTTATCTCCGCCCCCTCCACCTCCTCCTCCTCCTCCTCCTCCTCCTCCTCCAAGCGGCCCCCTTCGAGTGCGACTTGCAAAAGGAGCTCGACCACGAGAAGCCTCCCGCAAGAAACCCAGCCCTGAGACCCCAGGACGTCCATCGATTTCTGGTGTGGGAGCAGCACGCCGTCCATGGCAGAGCCATCGAAGCCGTCGAAACCCAGGGCACCCTGGAGGTAAGCACGGTGTTCCTTGGCATGGGCTTCCACTGTAGAGGAACCCTCCGATGCGGGGCAGAGCGGCGCGCATGGGCCGTGGGCTGCACTTGCTGAGGAAGAGGAGGAGGAGGAGGAGGAGGAGGAGGAGGAGGAGGAGGAGGAGGAGGAGGAGGAGGAGGAGGAGGAGGAGGGGGAGGAGGGGGAGGAGGAGGAGGAGGAGGAGGAGGAGGAGGAGGAGGAGGAGAAGGAGGACACATCGCAATGAGAGGTAGCCTGGCGAACCCGCCTTCGCGGATCCCTGCCGCTCTTCTCCGGTCCGACGTCCGAGGGCGGTGGCTCCGCCCTGAGCCCGCGATGGCCCCAAGCTTTGCAAAGTGCACGATGGCCCTCTGAGTTCACACGGTCCCCGCTTGGTTTCAGCACGGTCCCACGATGGTCCGACTGCGTAAGTCGACGAGAACCTGTGCATTCACGGGGCTCCCTGCTGGCTCCACGATGGCCCCACGGTGGTTCCGACGCTGCATGTTTGACGAAGCCGTATGCGTTCCCCAGGTTCTTGTTTGGCTCCACGACGGACCGACGCTGCCAATTTGACGAAGACGGATGGATTCACCGGTGTCCTGCTTGGTTCCACTCCACGATGGCCCCATGTTGCCATGATGATCCCGACGCTGCGAATGTGAAAAGCACCATTGGAAGTCTCAGGAGTCATGCTTGGTTCCTGCTTGGTTCCACGATGGCTCCGTCGCTGAAAGCCTGACGAAACTGTATGGCTTCACCGGATCCCTGCTTGGTTCCACGATGATTCCGCGTCGCTGAGCCATGCAACTTGTGTCAAACATAAACACTTGCAACGGAAGCACCTGCCTGAAGAGGCCTCAAAGACGCCCCAACAGGATCTGAAGACAGGCTACCAATACGTCCCAAGAGGCATCCATGAAGCCCCCTTTACGCGCCGAAAGAGACCCCCAAGAGTTGTGAGGAAGCCCCCAAGACGCCCCAAGAGACCCCGAGAGACATCCCAAGAGACTCCGAGAAGCATCCAAGAAGCCTCTGGCCCACGGAGGCTCCCCAATCTCTCCAAATGATGTCACGCTCCCCCGATAGGAGCAGATCTACTGGGCATCATTCCTGGATGGGCTGGCGTGGATACGCGAAGCCAAGAACTCAGACTCCTGCCTGCTAAGATCTTGCACGGGCACGGTGACGGGGCTTGCCGCAGGCAGCTGGATATCCTGCTGCGCCGCCTCGTCCTCGTCCTCCTTCTCCTCTTCCTCCTCCTCCATGCCTCTCCCTGACTGATAACTCCTCCCTGTCACACCCCGGGGCCAGTCGGAAGGGCGGACTGGGCGTTTGGCTTGAGTGTTCCTTACCACTGACGAGCCTCAAACATAAAAACAAGAAACGATTCCACAACTGGAGTGCGGGTTTCTTCCAACATGTGGCTCTCGCTTCAGCGCCGCACACACTTGTGTCAAACATGCGCAACCAGTTTCACGGATTGAGGGCGGGTAGCGTTCAACAAGTAGCCCTCGCCTCAGCGCCGCGCACATTTGCTTCAAACATTTGCAAGAGCTTCACGGGTTGCGGGCGGGTTATTTCCAAACTGTGGCTTTCGCTTTTAGCCCGAGCACATTCTTTTTTCCGAGCTTGTAAGAATATTGCACATTGATGGCGGGTGGTTTTCAAATTGTGGCTTTCGCTTCAGCTTTGCGTACACGCTTTTCAAATACGTGCAAAAGCTTCACAAATTGAGGGCGGGTGGTTTTCAAACAGTGGCGCTCGCATTATTAGCGCTTCGCAGATCCGTTTTCAAACATTGCAAGAGTTTTGCGGGTTCGCATGGTGAACGTACCAGAGTGTATGTGTGTGTGTGTTGTGTGTCGTGTGTTGTGTGTTGTGTGTTGCGTGTTGCGTGTCGCGTGTCGTGTGCGTGTGCGTGTGCGTGTGCGTGTGCGTGTGCGTGTGCGTGTGCGCGTGTGCGTGTGCGTGTGTGCGTGTGTGTGTGTGTGTGTGTGTGTGTGTGTGTGTGTGTGTGTGTGTGTGTGTGTGGGTGTGTGTGTGTTGGGGCGATTCGGGATTGTGGGGGCGCAACAGTTAAGTTGATCCGCGGAGTTGAAGTCCCAGGAAAGGCAGTTCCCTCAGTGGAAATGAACCCTTCTAGTTCCAACAGTTTCGATGGATCTTGGGCTTACACAGGTCATCCTCCTCCTCCTCGTCCTCCTCGTCCTCCTCATCCTCATCCTCATCCTCATCCTCATGCTCCTCATCATCATCACCATCACCATCACCATCACCATCACCATCACCATCACCATCATCATCATCATCATCATCATCATCATCATCATCATCATCATCATCATCATCATCATCATCATCATCATCACCCTCCTCCCCGTAACACTCCCCAGGGCCAATGAACCCCGTTGAGGCTGAACGGGCCCTGGATCTCCTGTGCAATCGCAAACGGGGGAGCACAACAATCAACTGCGCCATCCTCTTCGCGCGCCCCCTCCCCCTCCTCACCCCCCTCCACCTCCCCCTCCTCCTCCTCCTCCTCCTCCTCTCCTCCTCCTCCTCCTCCTCCTATTCCTCCTCCTCCCCCTCCTTCTCCTCCTCCTCCTATTCCTCCTCCTCCCCCTCATATTCCTCCTCCTCCTCCTCCTCCTCCCCCTCCCCCTCCTCAGCGGGATGGGCGGTGGTTGTGACGGGCGGGTGGGGGAACATCTTTCGGGCGAGCTGGGGGAGTGTGCCTCGTGGTGTTGCCCCCGACCAGGCTGCTGGTCATGGCAAGGACTTCGCCATCGTCTCCCTCGTCTGCCACGCTCCGATGTCGCCCTGGGGTTCACCTTCGCATCGGCTGCTCTGGTACGGCCGATCTGGCCCGCGATCCGTCCTCCGCAGTGTGCCCAGATACTCCTCGGTCGGGCCTGTGGCGGCATGTGCACGAGATGCTGGATGGTGTCCTGGTCCTTGAGGTGCCTGTTGAAGGAAACCTGAGCCGCCTCCGGCTGGTGGGCAACCGTACCGCGGACGCGCATGCGCAAAAAGGTGCCGCGCTAGGTAGGCTCGCCCCACAGGACCTCCTTCTGGTCGAGGGGGTGCCGTGAGATGGCCCACCTTGTTTCCCGTTCCGGGGCTGAGCAATGGGCCCCGATCGAACATTCGGAGGTGTTTTGACTAGGTGAGCCTAGACTGGCTCAAGCGTGGGAACCTCGACCTTGATCATAGTCTCCCTCCTCTCCCTCCTTGTTGCGGGGAGTGGTGGGACGGGCGGCGTCGAGCGGGCGGGACTGGGGAGGATAAGGAACCGGCCCCCCATGGGCTTCGGCAGACTGCGACCCCGTGGGAGTCCGCCCCTGCTGCCGCTGTCTTGAGGCCTGAGCTGACCCCCTGGCCCGCTCGCAACCAGTCGGTTTGGGAGGCCGCGGTTTTCGACCCGAATTGATTGGCCGGCTGTCTCGATTTCTCACTGCACCGACCTTGCAGACGTTCTGCAGCGGAGTGTTGCATGGACTTCTGCCACTGCAGAACTCCGAAACGGGGAGCGAAAAAAGAAGTGAATTGCACGTGGATTTGTTCTAGACATCATTCCTGGCCCAAAAAACGTCCGCACGAAACTCAATTCGAAATCAGGAGCGGAACTCTCCAGGACAATCCGGGCCCATCCCAGTGTTTGCCGAACGAAATCCGCTCTGCGATGTTGGCGCCACGAGATTTCTGTGCTCTTCGCGCGGAGCCGCGTGCCAGACAGGAGGCCACCGGGCAGGTCCGCTCTCGCGGCCGATTGTCTGCCTGTGTGCGCATTGCGTGCGCGCTCCTCGGGTCGTGGCAGACAACCGGACTGGATCTTGCACGGGGACCGTCCGTCTCGACAGGCGCCGCGTCGACAGGCGAGGGGAGAAGGGAGGGGCCCCGAGTGAGGCGGGAGGAGCGAGGAGGGGCACGAAGGGAGGAGCAAGGAACGAAAAAGCGGAGGAGGAGGAGGGGGAGGAGGGGGAGGAGGAGGAGGAGGAGGAGGAGGAGGAGGAGGAGGAGGAGGAGGAGGAGGAGGAGGAGGAGGAGGAGGAGGAGGAGGAGGAGGGGGGGGGGGAGGAGGAGACACGAGGAGCGTCGACGTGGCGCCCTGCGATCCTGGAGGCGACGAGAGCCTGGCCGGCACCCGAGGTGGGGCCGGAGCAGCAGCCCGCCCTGGCGCGGCCGCCCGCCGAGGGCTCGAGGCCGAGGGCTCCCGGTGGGGCGGCGGTGGGCTTGGCGAGCGGGCGGGCCCTGCGCGCCTCCGCGCACCGAGGCTGCGGCCGAGGCCCTCGAGGTGCCCGTGCCGTGTGAAGGGGCCCAAGGGCACACAAATAAAAAAAGTCCCCATGTTTTCCTATCTTTTCTGGGTTTCGTCTTCCCCCCCACTTCCCATATTTATCTATATCTTCTGGGGAATCGCCGCTTAATTGTGTCTGTGTGTTTCTTTCCCTCCTGACTGTGGAGCGCGGGAGCGGCGCGGCTCCCGCCGGAGCCGACACGGACTCGTCTGCGGGAGGCCGAGGGCTCCTGGTGGGACGGCGGTGGGCTTGGCGAGGGGCTTGGCTCTGTTCGCCTCCCCGCGTCGGGCTACGACCGAGGCCCTCGAGGTGCCGGTGCAGTGGAGCGCAGGAAACGTGCAGCTCGAGCCGAACCCGAAGTTCGATGTGTCTGAGTTTTGACCCCAGCCTGTGGGGCGGGGCGTCCGTGGCCACAGGTGGTGACCTCTTCGAGGCCGATCTGCCGCCTTTGTTTTGATGCATGTTGTCCTCCTCCTCCTCCTCCTCCTCCTCCTCCTCCTCCTCCTCCTCCTCCTCCTCCTCCTCCCCCTCCTCTTGCACACCATCGGAGGGCGTTCCGAGGTGGGGCGGGGCACGGGCAAAACTGGATCTCTGCCGCCCCTGGAACCCATAGTCGCCGCGCACCGTCCCCCCGCTGTCGGCCGTGCTCAGCAGCCTGCGCGGCCGCCTCGCCGCCGCCGCCTCGCCGCCGCCGTCCTCGCCGCCGCCGTCGTTGGCACTGTCGCGGCCGTCGCTGCCACCGCCGTTGGCCGCCGCCGCCGCCCTCGTCGTCGTCGTCGTCGCCTGTGTCGTCGTCGTCGTCGTCGTCGTCGTCGTCGTCGTCGTCGTCGTCGTCGTCGTCGTCGTCGTCGTCGTCGTCGTCGTCGTCGTCGTCGTCGTCGTCGTCATCGTCGTCGTCTTCGCCTTTGTCGTCGTCGTCGCCTGCGTCGTCGTTGTCGGCGTCGTCGCTCCCGACGTCGTGGTCGTCTGCCGCCAGTCGTGGCCGTCGTCGCCGCCGCCGTGGGCGCTGCCGCCGCCGCGGCGAAGCGGTGGCGCCTGCGCCCGCGGGCGTCGGCGGGCCGCAGCGCCCACAAGCAGCAGCACAGCCGCAGGAGGCCGGCTGGCCTGGGGGGGGGGGCGGGGGCAGGGCGGGAGCGGCGTCGAGTCGCCAGCCCCCCCGTGTTGAAGGTGATGGTTATAGTATGGACTTATACTCACAACCTGATGTATTTTCTTCCACTCCACCTGCCGGACCCGTGTCTTGCAATGTTTAAGCGTCCGCTGCTAAGATCTTTACACGGCCAGCTATCGCTGGGTAGGCATCTGGATAGAACATGAAACGTGAAACCTGCATCGCCAGCCCCCCCCCTCCGGGGGGGGGGCAGGGCCCCAGAGCTCCCACCAGCGAGCGGCGACCGTGTCCGCAGGCGCGCCCTCGCGGTCTGGATTCCGGGAGACGCGGTCGCCGGGATGCGATGGTCGCACGGGTGCGCTCCGTGCGGGCCCCCCCGGGGAAAGACAGCACCCCATTTGCGCGGGGTCGGGGCCCGCAAGCCTGGCTTGCGCGGCCGCGGAGACGGATGCGCTTTTCACGCACGATCCAAACCAGGTTGGCAGGCTTCGTGCAAGTCTGAGAGCCTCCAACAGGACATTGGTCCCTTTGCATCGTATATCCCTGCAGCCCTCACCGAAAGCCGCCATCCGCCACGACCTGAGCCCAAAATGGCGCTGTGGGGGAAGAGAGGCTGGCCGGAGATCGGCTGCGCGCCAGAGCAACCTTAGGAGGCGCGGGTGAGCTCCGGTGCGCGGCTGGCATGCGGCAGTAGCGGCTTACAGTCGGGGCGTTGACCTAAGGAACCCTAAATAAGGAACGAGGCCCCTTTTCTCCAGAAGTTGAATTTCGACTTCCCATGGAAGACCTCAGGATAACAGAAGGCAAACTGTAGAACAATCAAGGAACAGGGTTCCTTCTGCAGGGCCCCGGCTGTATGCATGTGGGGTCGAAGCGCCGAAACCCGCGCACCAAAAGTCGCTCCGGCGATGGCTCCCTCTGGGCGAAGGGCTGGGGAGCGGAGGAGGCCGGACCCCAGCAACCATGGTACTTAGGGGAGCTCTTGCCGAGCGGGTCGCGGCGGCGGCCCCCTGCGACCCGCACCAGCGATGAATCGTCGACGTCGGAGGTGCATCGGCGACGTCGACGTGGAGCAAATCAAGGTCCACACCGAACCGCATCGGCGGTGCATCGGCGGTGTGTCGCGATCCTCCGACACCATCTACTCGGACCCCGTCTAGGAGGCCTGGACCAAAGCCGAGTGGTGACGGACCGCGTGGTCAGCTCCGTGTCCCCGGCGACCTCACCGCGCGCTCCGTGCACAACACGGTGCCAGACCTCTTGGAGGCCTCCGTCGCCCTGGAGACGCCATCGCAGAAGAAGGACCCCCGAGGCCCACAACCGCGTGCCGACACCGAACCCCGACTGACCCACCACGCAGCGTGTTCCCCTACGCCGTCTGTCGGGCCCCGGAGAGTCGCTCTGTGGCGGCGCGCACAGGGGGGGTAGGGGGAGGGGGGAAGGCTTCTTAGAGGGAGGCTGCTTCTTGGAGGGCGCTGGCCTTCCATCTGTATACACGGCCCGCGCCTTCTAAGAAGCAGCGATGCTTCTAAGAAGCCTTCCCCCCTCCCCCTACCCCCCTCTACGCGGGGCCAAGCTCTGCGTCCCAGACCCCCGACGTATTTTTTTTCGTTACGTCGACCCCCAGGAGGTCCCGACCCTTTCCCCATGACCAGCTTTGCATCCTGAGTATTATCTTTTGACACTCCCGAGGCCCGGTCGGGGCCCCCAGAGGCCGAAAATAGGGAAAAACCTCACGTCGTGATTTTTTCAATGATCAGGACGGCGTCCCTAGAAGTCCCGACCTTTTCTCCCAGACCGGTTTTTCGTCCTGAGTCTTTGTTTGACGCTCCCGAGGCCCGGCGAGGGCCCTCCGAGGCCGAAATTGGCCAAAAACCTCCCGTCCTGATTTTTGTTACGACGCGGTCATGTCTGGGCCCCTCTACGCGCGTCGTGGGACGGGCGGCCAAGAAAAGTTCGGACCGCCGCTGCTGGGGGCCGGGCTGCGCTCGGCGTCCGATCCCGCCCTGGCTGGCCAGGCCGCCCCGTTATACGGCCCTGTGGCGGCACCCGTGAGGTGCAACGTCACGAGCAAGAATGCAGCACCGTGGAGAGAGGAGGAGGAGGAGGAAGAGGAGGAGAAGGAGGAGGAGGAGGAGGAGGAGGCGGAGGAGGAGGAGAGGAGGGGGAGGAAGAGGAGAGGAGGAGGAGGAGGAGGAGGAGGAGGAGGAGGAGGAGGAGGAGAGGAGGAGGAGGGAGAGGAGGAGGAGGAGGAGGAGGAGGAGGAGAGGAGGAGGAGGAGGAGGAGGAGGAGGAGGTGGGAGGAAGAGGAGGAGGAGGAGGAGGAGGAGGTGGACCAGTGTAAACCCAAGAGTCAACAGCTAATTTTGAATAAACCCTCCCTTCTTGCGAGAACATCGGGGAACACCCAATCAGTGCATGCCATGGAACTTCCGCATGCACGCCACGCCTGCCCGCTCCTTCTCTCCTTTTTTGTTTCTCTCTCTCTCTCTCTCTCTCTCGCTCGCTCTCTCTCTCGCTCTCTCTCTCGCTCTCGCTCTCTCACTCTCTCTCTCTCTCTCTCCCTCTCTCCCTCGCTCTCTCTCTCTCTCTCTCTATCGTCTCTCTCTCTCTCTCTCTTGCTCGGCTGTGTAGATTCCCAAAACAGTGTTGGCCCTTCGGGGCTTCACCGTGTTTGTCGAAACGAACTGGCCTTGCTGTCGGTCTGGCGAATCGCCGTCGCCGCTGCTTCGGTCCCTGGCTGTCGGTCGCCGCGCTTGTTGTCGCCGTCACCACCCGTCGCCGCCGTCCGTCGCCGCTGCCTCTGGGCCTGGATGCTGGCACCGTTGAAATCGGCCAAAGTCCTGGATCCCACGTGTGGATCGAGCCGTGACGGCCCCGGGGTCCCGAACCCAGGCAGCATCCCCAGAGGTTCAAAGAACTGCTACGCCACCTCCTCCTCCTCCTCCTCCTCCTCCTCCTCCTCCCCCGCCTCCCTCCTCCTCCTCCTCCTCCTCCTCCTCCTCCTCCTCCTCCTCCTCCTCCTCCTCCTCCTCCTCCTCCTCCAGGACCTCAGGGGCCGGAGAAGGTTCGGAGCGCTGCTGCTTTCGGGACCAGGCTGTGCTCAACGACGATCTCCAGGGCGTCTGTCAGCGCAAACGTGCGTTTGTCCACCGAACCCCTCGAATGATAGGCCTGTTTTCCACCACCACCACCACCAGAAGTTGGAGGGGGGAAGGAGGTGGAGGAGGAGGAGGAGGAGGAGGAGGAGGAGGAGGAGGAGGACGAGATGGAGAAGGAGAAGGAGGAGGTGGAGGAGGAGGAGGAGGGGGACCCCCTCCCCCTCCAACTTATGGTGGTGGTGGTGGAAAACAGGCCCATCATCGAATGCGACGCAGGCGGCCTGGCCAGCACGGGGTGCGTGCTATATCGACGCAGCGGGCTACGGCCAGGAAGCTTCGCTCGGCGTGTCGCAGCGGCGGCCCCAGCGACACGCTACGGTGAGGGCGTTGGATAAGGAACCCTTGGGTAAGGAATCCAGGTTCCGGAAGACGGTGAACTCAAATCGCGGATTGACCATGGATATCATCGCCGCCCTCATGAGATAAAGAACCCTCCAGGGTCTGAAGCCTTCCGGACACATTCCTTAACCAACGCCTCCACCGTATGCCATGCCAGCGGACAGCGTGTCGCTCCACCTCGCAGGTCGGGAAGCTCGGAAGAAAAAAAATCGGGACGAGGACGCCCGGGGACCCGGAAGTGGATATGGAGCGTGGCGCCGAAGCCTCGTGGGCCAGAACCAGCGGCGCGTCACGCTATGCCACCAAAAACGTCCCAACCCCAGACCCCCGACGTAATGATTTTTTCATCGCGTCGACCCCCAGAGGTCCCGCGACCCTTGCCCGAGGACTGGCCTTGCATCCGGAGTCGTTGTTTGACGCTCCCGAGGCCCACAGGGGGCCCCAGAGGCCGCACATGCAGACACACCTCCCGCCGTGACTTCTTTCACTGCTCGAGGGGGTCTGGGCCAGCAGAGTCCAATCGCCCCGCCAGCACGGGCCACCCCGTGGCCCAACCGTTTTTGGCAGGCGGGTCTCTCAAGCTCCCCGCACCGCAGCCCCTGGCGGTGCGCGCTGCGAGCAGGAACGCAGCAAGGCCACAGTAAAGCGCGGCACCGACAGTGCAGCTCCGCACACGTGACCTATCGTAACGCGCAGGAGCGCAGCAGAGCCCCGGGGAGAGCGAGGCAGTGACAGTGCAGCTCCGCACACGTGACACATCGTAACGCGCAGGAGCGCAGCAGAGCCCCGGGAGGGCGAGGCAGTGACAGCGTATGAAGGGGACCCAGGACACACAAATAAATACACAGAAATAAAAATATTCCCATATTTTCATATATTTTCTGGGTTTCTGTCTTCCCCCCCACGTCCCATATTTTCCCATATTTTCCTGGGAATCGACGATTAATCGTGTCTGTGTGTGTTTTTCCCCTCCTGAGTGTAGCTCAACAGTGACACGGTGGTGGCCGGGGAGCCGCGACATGTCCACGAGCGTGGCTCCACCCCGTGGCACCGCCCCGACGGCCCCCGCCCACGGGCGGCACGCCGCGGCGCCGGCCGCTCCGCCCCCGCGCGCGGGGGGGCCTCCGCGGCGGGCCAGGCGGGCGGCGCATCGGCGGGCCGCCCATCGCCTCCTCCGCGGGTCACCTCTCGGGGCAGGGGGGTGGGGGGGGGGCTGGTCGGGAAGAGCGCCGGCAAGGGGGGTCCTCCTCCTCCTGGTCCTCCTCCTCCTACTCCTTCATTGCCTCGTCCTCCTCCTAATCCTCCTCCTCCTCCTCCTCCTCCTCCTCCTCCTCCTCCTCCTCCTCCTCATTCTTCATTCCTCATGTTGTATTTCTCTTTTGTTTATCCTTCATGTTTTCTTCTTATTATTCTCATCATCATCAACATCAACATCACCAGCATCATCATCATCACCACCACCACCATCATCATCATCATCATCATCATCATCATCAGCAGCATCAGCATCAGCATCAGCATCATCATCAACATCACCACCATCATCATCATAATCATCATCAGCATCATCATCATCATCATCATCAGCATCATCATCAACATCATCATCATCATTCCTATCTGGGTCAGCCCTGGTCGGCCAGGGCACCGTCGCGCGAAGCTTGGTCGGCAGGTAACTCCCACACCCGAGTCCGCGGAGGGCGGGGCGAGTGCGTCGGCCACACGTGGCTCCCAAACCTGAGTCGGCCAGAGAGGGAGGGAGGAGAGGAGGAGGAGGAGGAGGAGGAGGAGGAGGAGGAGGAGGAGGAGGAGGAGG